ATTGCTTCGAAATAATATCTTTTCGTTGACCCTTTCTTGAACCAGAACCGGGGGAGGATGAGAGGAAAGGGCCATTGCCAACCCTTTTCCTCCTCCTAACTATTTTTTTCCATTTCCTACCTAAATGCTTTTGAACGTGATGATCATGAATTTATGTACAATCATGCATTTTTCTTTTTAAACTTTTTGGAATCTTGAGAGGGACAACGTGAAGAAATAATTTTTTTTTTTTCTTGTAGACTTTTTCCATTTGAGTTCCATTTGTACATAGACACAATTCATATTAATTCTTATATTTTTCTAATAAAGAGATTTTTTTTTTTCTTGAGGGGACCGTGGAAGTTTTTTTTGATCTTTTGAGAGGATCAAGAACATGAGTTGCCTCCCCTGCTTCAAGAAAAAATCCGAATCGCCGCAGGAGGAGCTGCCGGTAGCTCAGCCTAAAGAGATCGCAACCACCCCACCACAACCCGGTATGCTCTTCTAATATCATACTTGAATTCCTATAGATCCTTTGAAATTTAAAGAAAATGAATTGTTCATGGTTGTGTTCTCCTAAATAAAATAAAACTTGATGTTTCTCTTTAGTTTCCCTGCCCTTTTTTGTTTCCTGTCTAATTCTGTCTCATTTTAGTTAATAAGAGAAGAATACATGCCTAGAAGTCATGCAAATGTCAATGGTTTTCTAGGATCATAAATTTGAAAGGAAAAGAAGACAACAACATCACCCTAAGCATTCACAATATACTAATGCTATGTAGAAAGCCAATAGTTTTAAGACAATCAGGGAATGGAAAATGCTCGTGCACCAAAGGCAAAGTTGCCGGCGTGTGAGCATGGAAACAACCTCTTGCAAAAATGCAAGGTAAGGCTGAATACATAAGACTCAATATGGTCCGGCCTTTCCCCGAACTCGCGTGTGCCAGGAGCTTAGTGCACAGGATTGCACCCTTATGCTCATGCACCAAACAACAACAAAAAACGCAGACTAATCCCACAAGTGGGGTCTGGGGAATGCTCATGCACCGTGCATTGCTTAAATAAACAATAGATGGTTATGGTCATCATAAAAAATGACAAGATGGTGTGCTGCTACATGTCTTTTGTAGTTTTCCTAACACATTTGTAGGCTGATGTTCGCTTTCTCCATGCATTTTGGGGGTAACCCACCAGCTGAACCCTTCCACAAAGACGACAATAACCCTATCGAAAATGGGAACACCAATGCTAAGACTTTCACATTCCGTGAGCTTGCCGGTGCAACAAAGAATTTCAAGCAAGAATGCCTGATAGGTGAAGGTGGATTCGGAAGAGTGTTCAAGGGAACGCTTCAAGGCGGACAGGTAAAATTACCTTAAACTAACTTTCTCTTTCAGCTTCGTTTTGACTTTAACCTGATGAAATGAAAATCATTTTGATGTCTGGTTTGTACCTGAATAGGTTGTGGCAGTGAAGCAACTAGACAGGAGTGGAACACAAGGAAACCAGGAGTTTCTTGTTGAGCTCTCAAAGTTGACTCTCCTTAAGCACCCAAACCTGGTCAATCTCATTGGATATTGTGCTGATGGCGATCAGCGGATTTTGGTCTTTGAATACCTGCCAATGGGTTGCGTAGAAGATCATCTCCATGGTAAGTTTATGCACATACCTCGAACTCTTCACCAGTGGCAGAGTCAGAATTTCAGAAAAAAAGACAAGAATGCCACACTTGAGATTCAAACCAACAATCTAACACAAATTTTAAGCTACTTTTACCACTACTTTACAAACTTCCCTTATATCAAAGAGAACTCAATAATTTATATATAAGTGCGGCCCGGTGCACAAGGCATCCTGCGTTCACGCAGGGTCACGGGAAGGGCCGCACCCCCAAGGGGTGTGATGTATACAGCCTACTCTAATGCAAGCATTAGTGGCTGCTTCCACTGCTCGAACCCGTGACCTATAGGTCACACGGAGACAACTTTATCGTTGCTCCAAGGCTCCCCTTCCAACAATTTATATATGAAGAAAAGAATTTGTTTTCATCGTATTCGCTCAGTGTAACTTTCCAAAGAAGGGGATCCAATTGAACCCCCTTAACTACACTAGCCACTGCTCTTCACCACCACCATCCCCTTCCCCCTTTCATGTTATAAACTTTCTTGATTTTGTACTAACTAAGGATCTGTTACATTCCAGACCTCAAAGATGGGAAAAAGCCATTAGATTGGCTATCCAGAATGAAGATAGCTTTAGGTGCTGCTAATGGACTTGAGTATCTACACGAAAAGGCCAATCCACCAATTATTTATCGTGATCTGAAACCCTCTAACATTCTACTGGATCAAGATTTTAATCCAAAACTTTCAGATTATGGTATTGCTAAGCTTGCAGGTGGAGGGAGTAAGACAAATATGTCACCAATGATGGTGGGAAATGGTTATTGTGCTCCAGAGTTTGAAAGATCGGGTGAACTCTCTATGAAGTCAGATGTATACTGTTTTGGAGTTGTCTTGCTTGAACTTATAACAGGGCGTCGCGTAGTGGATACATCAAGGCCAGCAGACGAGCAAAACCTAGTTGCTTGGGTGAGTACATTCTACACAAGAATTTCTTTTTAATCTCATAGTTCTTGTGCTTTTGCTTAGCTAAAAACAAAAGGGCATTCGAGTATAGTTCTAATGGGTCACCAAATGTATGTGATTTTAACAGGCACAACCCTTTTTCAGGGATCCAAAGAGGTTCCCTGAATTAGCAGATCCGCGTCTTGGAAAGAAGTTTCCTGTCAAAAGTTTAAATCAAGCAGTTGGGGTTGCAGCAATGTGTCTTCAAGACGAACCAATGGTTCGTCCTTTAATTGGTGATGTTGTGGCTGCTCTTAGTTTTCTTACAATGCCACAACCCGATGACCCTATTCCTAGTTCGCCTCCAGCTCCAACCCCAACATCAAATATGGATAAGTCAAATGAAGATCAAGAGAGTTCAGAAAATGAGGACCAAGGTGATTCAGATGATGAGGATCAAGGCGATTCAGATAATGAGGATCAAGGCAATTCAGATAATGAGGATGCAAGCGGTGAGAGTGACCAGAAACGCGATGAAAAAGTCCATGACAAACAACATTCTCAAAAGGTCCACGACAAACAACGTTCTCGAAAAGCTCATGATAATCAAGAGGATGATAGAGGAAGTTCAGATTATGGATACGGAAGCGCATCGGGATCATCAGAATATGAGGACGACAATGGAGATGAACAAGGAGAGGTGACAACAAAATCTGGAAAATGGGGTTCTGCACGTTCGAGACATAAAAGCAAGGTAAAATCCCGCTCTAGAAGTGTCAACTCAAGTAAGTAGCGGAACATCCAACAGTAATATCACAAGGGAGCGTCGAGAGAAAGCAACTGTTGAATCTAATGGGAAATAATGTTAATGAGTCTTGCAACAGCATGGATTCAAATTTAAGTCACAGATAGAGAACTTGGTTTGAGTACAAAACAAAGATCCAAGAGAGCAATTGCTAGCACAAATTGCAGAAGTAAAAGCAACATGGAATCAAGTAATGTAAGTATTGATTTCGTTAAAGCAACAAAGCAACTTAAATTCTAATTATGGAAGTTTTGGTGCATCAAGTCACAGCACAAGGAAGAATCATAACGTTAAAGTAATGGTTCAAATCATCACCGGAGTATAGAATTAAAAACATGTAACTGTACCTTGTAATTAAACTTTTTTCATATTTCATATTTCCATTTTGACAAACTTAATTTTACATTTTGGCTATGATTAGTGTTGACACAAGTGATTATTTTTGTTAGCTTTTTGACTAAGATGTTTCACTAGTATTAGATATAGCAGCTCGTGCATGGAGATCTCAGGCCAATAAGCCACAAGCTCAAAAAGCATCCGTGTTTAATAAGCTCATAAATTTTACAATGTTAGTAATTTTAAGCTCCATGAAACAAGCTAATAAGTTTCCTATAGTAGTAGTTTCAAGATTTGATTTCTCATTTACGCATGAAAAAAAACACAGAAAAACATTACAGATGACCTATTAAGTATATAAAATGTCACTAAACAACCAAATTGTACCTTTGTATGTTTACATTCATGAATTTGTGGAGAATGCATGAAGCCAGGTTTTTTTTTTTTTTGGTTTCCCACCCGGTATCCGGTACTCGCATTGGAGCCCGACTATATCCGGATTCGCGCCGCGTAGGGCCCCATTTGGGGGGAAGCGCTCCTTACCAAGGATTTTTCCCTACCCAGGGCTCGAACCCGAGACCTCTGGTTAAGGGAAGAGCAACAACGGCCTTGTTTTAATTTGCTTAAACCTCGTCATGCAATATGCTACTGCCTCCAGCAGAAAGGAGACCACATCTGCCGGAGGGAAATAAGAGGGAGAAAAAAATCAGGGGGTATTCTAAATGAAAATATCTGACAATATCATATCCTTAACCCACCAAAAATACACAACGACCTGCAATTTATAGGGCTGCACCATTGGACCAATGCCTATTTTTCTTACTTCAGGCTAACGAAGTTCATTTCAATGTAAACATAAAAGTCATTTCTCAGATGTACTTTTAGGGCTTCAAAAATTCATCTTCACAACTTATAGCCCGTTTGGCCAAGCTGCAAAAATCAGCTTATTTTGAGAAGTGCTTTTTTTCAAGAGTGCTTTTCTCAAAAGTACTTTTGGTGAGAAGCAGTTTGTGTTTGGCTAATTAATTTGAAAAGCACTTCTGAGCAGCAATTAGTGTTTGGCCAAGCTTTAAAAAACTGCTTATAAGTGTATTTTTCTCAAAAGTGCTTCTCAAAAAAGTGCTTTTGGAGAGAAGCTACTCTTTCTGCTTCTCCAAAACTGCTTCTGCTTCTCTACAAGTCTACTTTTCTCAAAGCTGCAACACTCAATTGGCCAAAAGTGTTTTTGGCCAAAAAAAAAGCACTTTTGGCCAAAAAAGAGCTTGGCCAAACAGGCTTTTAGTGTTTGTACATAAAATGTGGGATAGTGCATGTACTTTCTTAATAGTAATTTATCATCGGTACGAAGAAGGATGGACAACATCTGGACTTTCTTAAGGGTAACGGAATACTCAGAGCACATAAAACTAAAGGTGTGCAACCCTTAACCCAAAGAAAATGATATCTATCTGTGTTAGCAGTAAAGCTCATAACTCGAACTAGCAGAAGCAAGGCAACTTGATCTGAGACATTCTTACTCTGCTCATAGATGTTTCATTTTTCAAACGAATCATGATATAGCAGACTTGACGTGAACCATAAGCAGCCATAGTAGAGATTGTATCAGCTGAACGAGCTACTTATTTGAAGCTACAAGAGCGACACTGATCCTTCACTTCTTTTGCCGTCACTCTTTCTGTAGCCATCCAAGCTGCATGAACAAAGTATGTTAGCAGAGAGGAGAATATAAACAATGCTCAATTTGTCTACTGAATAAACCAAATACCTTCCAAGCGTACATCCCAAGAAATGCTACAGTATCCACTGACCAAACGACAGCAAATGACTTCCAGAAGAACGGGACTATAACATTAAGCAAGGGAATGAGGATAAAAAGATAATTGAGAGCTTCTTTCTCATTCTTTGAGCAATCTCGAGCCCGAAGAGAAGGAACAGCTGCAATAATAGAAATTAATATTTGAGTTCAAATTTACAGCTAAATTGAGGTAATAGTAGCAAGGGTACAAATTAACTTTCTACACCTATAAGGATATTTTTTTCAGACGCACATATACAGGCAAAAGTTTAATATCTTGGGGAGATAGAAAAATCATTAATTAATTAGAATTAAAAATTTTATTGTCTCCTTACATCAACTTATACATTTTATTGCTAGAGTTTACTTTGGCATTCACAATCGAGACTAGAGTGTATATTAATTCAAAATGTTGAACATCATTTAGATAGCAACTCAAATCACAATGAATCTCATGAACATAGGATACGATACTGAAGAAAATTGTATATAAATTACGAAAATAATAATTCTTTAAAATAGTTGCTTTTTCTTCCATGATGAGGCATGAAGTGACATCTGAGTAAACTATCTAAATGAAGTAATATCAGATTGAAATAGCGACCAACTAAAGCCGCAAATGAAGCCACCAAATTATAGTCCTCCAATTGAGAGAACAGTGAAAGGAAAAAATGAATTAATGGACAGATGAACAATACATAGCTACTTCATAAAAGTAACTTTAAATCACTCTTACGGAAATAGTCTTATTTGTACTACCTTAGCAGCATGGTTTAGTTCTCTATAAAGCGAAATTACTTACTAAACATCCATATGGACCACATTCCCATTAGTCTCCAGATGTCTGGTTCATTTGAGGGGAAAATGAGATTGAAGGAGAGAGCTCCACCTAAAAACATTGAAACATAGGCTTGCACTTCAAAAACAGTGTATAAAACAGTTCCAGGTACAGCAGGATTTTTCGTGGCAGTCGAAGCCCTTGGTGCAAAGGTTGCAGCAGTCTTTAAAACAGCCTGTTAGAGAGTATTTTGACGTTATCACACATTATTGGTAAGACATCACAAATTTATATATTAGTCAAATTATATTTGCCTATGTAGCATAGCGGGAAAAATAAAATTCATGTCGCAAATTTGGCTGTTGGCTTTGCAAAGCCCCATCAGAAATTTGAGATGTTTTCTTAGCACCATACCAGATGGACCATTCTAACGTCCTCAATGATGAAAGGTCACGCGATAAACAATTCCTGCATATATTTATGTAGTGTTTGGTTGGTGGCATTAAATAGTACCTGCATTAACTTATGCGTCTATATGTACTATTTTATGTGGGATAGAAAGAGTATGATAACAATGTATTAGCAATACAAGATTTAAAGTATTAAAAGACAAACTAACCTTAAAGCAAGTAATTCTTGCATAACAACACTTTCATTATTAATCAATGCATAACAATTTCTACATTATTAATCGCCACATAACAATCTCTGCATTATAATTAATTCATTGCATAGACAATCCATGTATTATAGTTTCCACATAACTCGCATGTGAACCAAGGGTGGTCAACCGGACACCCTTCCTCAAAAAATTATATTGCGTATGTACAAACTTATATTTTGTGTATATATGTCAAAAAGTATTTTTTATATATGTATATTAAATTTGGAACACAATTGCGGAATTTCTCGCTTTGCCACTGGAACCAAACGACCTCAAGCACATCAAAATTGAATAAAACTGTGTAAAGAATACATAAAAATCTGACCTTTTTCAGTTCCTTATTATCAAGAACAGCATTAGGACCAGTAGAAGTAGAATTTTCCCCTCTTCTTTCTTCCTCACTGTTAATAATAACCCCATTAGTCTTTTCTTGTATTTCATCTTTTGGGTCCTCTATTATCTGTTTATCCAACTCATTTGAACTTGCTGACACACAAAGTCTGCAACTTTTGCCATTAAGTAATGGAGATTTCAAGAACCCAGTTTTTTGGGGTGGGAGAATTTTCAAGAATTGGCAGTTTAAAACTGATGCTGACATTGAAGCAGAATTCATCTTGGATTTTTTGTACAAAATCGTGGTTTTTAGGTGTCATGTACAGCTACAACATTGTAAAGAAGTTGGGTTTTTGTGAAAGAGTACAGAGGTGAACATATCAAGATGAACAAGAGTAGACAGTCATGAAAATGTGAAGGATAAAAGAGAAGAGTGTCAATTTAGTTTGTGGCTCCAAATTACTCCTTTTTTCTTTCTCTTTTTTTTTTCGGCTCGAAATGACTCTTTAGACACAAATTCTTCTTTCAAATTTTTAGCAAAAGTTAAAACCTTATTTATTTTAAATAAATATTTTTTTAAAAAATTATATTTCATTGCTATCTTTTATTTTTTATAGTCAAATATTTATTTATGATTACATTCTATCCTTAAGTCATAAAATACGCTTTGTATTATTTTTTTCTCTCATTCTTTCAAATTTTTCTCTACCCTCTCTCAACCAACGCCACAAATCACCGTACCTCCGCCTTTCTTCTGACGCAAAACCTCCGCCTTTCTGATTTTTGTTTAATATTTAATATTTTGAGTTTCTCTGTTTTTGAACTTCTCTTTCCAATTCAGACAATACCAAATTGAGGTCACAAGATTAAAGAAGTAATCAAGGATAGAGAAAAGAAAAGCACACCTCTAAATTATGGAGACAGAAAAAGGGAGAAAAAGCGACAGAATGGATGATTGTATTGAATTCCAGAAAAGACACAAGCCAAGAAAGAATTCTTGAAATAGGAGGTTCGATGCTTTTGGATATTTTGTATATAATTTTGGATTTTTTACGGGTTATTCTTTAATAAAGACGACGGAGTTTTGGGGCTGAGCAACTTAAAGAGTATGTTACTTTTTTTTCATTGTATTTCAATGTATCTCATTGTATTCATTGTATTTCAATGTATCTCGCTATATTCTATGTATTTCATTGAATTCATTATTTTTTTTCCATTGTATTTCAATGTATCTCGTTGTATTCTATGTATTTCATTGTATTCACTGTCTTGCTATATTCCACGAATGTATTCATATATTTTTTTAATTAATATAATTTACGTATTCAGATATATTTATGTATTCAGATTTATAGTTGAGTTTGTTGAGTTATATTAGGAGTCTATTTGTGTTAATTGATTCATTTTCCGTTTAAAAACAGCTGAATAGACCATGAATTGCGCTATTTACGTTACTGTATTCACAAATACGTATCATAAATACAGTCGAATACAATAATTGTCTAGCTGTAATCCCCTGTTTCACGCTGAGAAATGCTACTGTATTCATGAATACAGTAGCTTAAATACATCAAATACACTCTAAAAACCTCAAAACATAGCTATAGGAAGTAATATAGTAAATGGTAGCTACAACTAGCTAATAACCACTGAACAATAGTGGTTTGTGAAAATTTCTCTTTTTCTTTAGCTTTTTAGAGCCTGTTTGGACATAAGAAATTTTTTCCTTTTTTCCAAAAATAATTACTTTTTTCCGAAATTAGTTTGTTTATAAAATTTCCAATTTTAACTTGAAGTTCATTTTGGAAATTTTTGAAAATTTGAAAAACTCCAAAAACTTGTTTTTCAAAATCTCAAATCACTCACAAAACTTCAAAAACAACCCAAAATTATATTTATATCCAAACACAACTTTAAATCCTTGAAAAAAAATTTCACCATTTTTTTGAATTTTACAATTCTTATGTCCAAATGCACACTTAGAGTTTAAGAAAATATTGAATAATGTATTACTTGCTCCATTTTTTGATTTATATGGAATAGTTTTTCTCTGAAGACGTTTCAAAATATTTGATATCATCTCACATATATTTTATACAATTTTATATTTTGAAGAATTCAAATTTATTTCGTACTATTTAACAATTAAACCTAGCGTGATAATTTTTATATCAAACTAACCTCTTTAATTATTAATTTAATATTTTTTACTATAGTAATAGTCTAATATGAAAGTCAGTTTATTTTAAGCTTTGTCTTGAGTTAAACTCGTCATGGAGTATAAAATAGGAGTGAGAGAGTCTGAATTTGTAGTTTTTATTTTCTTCAGAACTTGTAATCTGGTCACATAAAATCTTTGATGTTGCAATTGGGCCACATCAAGAAAGTAATCTTAATTTTCTAACCTTCGTTCGGTCTCATATTCCTCCATCCACTGTTGTCGTTTCGTATGATAGATAACCAAAAATAATTATGAAATAAAAATTTAATATTGCCTTATCCTTTAGAGGTCACTTGATTCGGACAAGGTTATCCCAGAATTAATCCTGAAACTAATAATCCCTTGGATTATTTAATAGTATGCTTTATTTGGTTCATTGGATTAAAAATGGGATATACCATATACAATACAACGCATGTGTTTGGTTTGAAGGTATAAGCTTGGAAAATATTTTGTTTCCTATTTTAACCTTGGTTCAAGAAATAAAAAGGCTGAAGTGAAAAGGGAAGAAGGATAAGTTGGTCATTTCATACCTTTATCGCGGAATAACTAATCTCGGTATCAGTTATTCCACCTTGGAAAGGGGATAATTTAATCCCAGTTTGTGGTATAATTTTATGTTGGGTTTAAGTAATATCTTAAACCAAACATGGGACAATTTAATTCCAAATTTTATCCCGCCTTATCTCATGAACTAAACAACCTCTTATTTGGTTACTAATCATAGGATAAGTTATCCCATGATCAAAAATAGTACCGGGATAAATTATACTTGCCAAATGGTGGATAGTAATCCTAGGATAAGTTATCCCAGGATAAAGCAGTAAAATTGACAATCACCTGATTAATACAATATACCAAACAGTCAATAAGAACTAACATTAGGATAACTAATCCCAATATAATTAGGGAAAAAGACCATTATTGTCCCTGTACTATTGTAAATAGTACACGTTTGTCCTCCGTTTCACTTTACGTCCAAAACCCACCCTACCGTTAACAAACTTGATTTAATTGCCCCTAACCTTAATGGATGGCCAATGTGGCAGTTGACCCACTCCATTTTTTCCACGTCAACTGCCAAGTCAGCTTTCCATTAAGTTGTAAGCCCCATAACCAAACGACTTCTTCTTCTCCCAAATTATATTGACCCAATTTCACTTCCAAAATTTTGACCCGTAACCCAACGGCTTCTTCTTCTCCCCCAGAAGACACTCCATTGCTGAGAACTTAAGGTTCAACTGAAATCTTCCAATAATTTCTTTTTTCTTAATTCTCGTCGTATCTTTGGTTGATAAATATCGCAAGGTAACTGTTTATCACAGATTAGGTGTCGCTGTGGCATTATAGCCAACCACTTCACTTCGTCTACTCCATACAACCCCGAAAGAAAATTCTACAAATGTCTGTGGCCTAAGGTTATTTAATTTCAGTTTTCTCTTTTTCTTTTAAGTTTACTGTAATTATGAAATCTACAAGTTTAGAGTTTTGTAATGATTAGCTAAATGTTCTTTTTGAATTATGTTTGACAGCCTAGTTCATGTGGGTTTTGGGAATGGGAAGATGAAATCTTCTTGCAAAGTGATTGGACTAATAATAAAGATGTAACATCGTCGATGGATGAGGTTAAGATGGAAAGGGACAAATTGAAGGAAGAAGTAATTGCCATGAAGGCTATAAACCAATATGAAGTGAATAAAGTCATCAAGTTGGAAGATAAACTTGCAAAAACAAGGAAAAACAAGAATGCTGCTTATGATTTCATGGGGACTATTTCTTGGTTTTTTTGCAGCCTTAATGATGAACTGACTTTTTGCAAAGACAAGGTTGTTGGTTTTGAGTTGCATATGTGTAGCTGACTTTTTGTTGCTATAGTAGTATTTGTTGCTTTCCAGCCATGTTCTGCAGATTTGATGATGTTGATGTAGTAGTATTTGTTGGTCAGTTTTTTCCCTTAATGTATGATGATGTTGGTGTAGTAGTATTTGTTGCTTTCCCTTAGTAGTATATGTTCTGCATATTTGATTGTTCTAAATGGCATGTTGAATAACTAAGTCATTTAATTGCTTTCAATCCAATTCATTTGACATAAAAGACAACAGTAAATGTAAAATGAAAAACTTACATTCCAGTCGTAAAAATGGATAACTGGAAACTAAAATTGAAAAGGGAACAAAATGGACAACAATGAACTGAACATTCATCAACAAATATTCACCTTGATTCATAATGTACCAACTATCAACATTCATAAAGTGCGTTTAATAGGACAACTGGATACCATATTATAACCCCAAAAAGATGTCAACACCTAGTTATAACATGGCATCCAACTGTCAGGACCAAAGAACCACAACCAAAATATAAAGTTTACTGTCATGGCAGTAATTACAACACTTCCAAAATTTACATCATAAAAGTTCACTAGAAGCAAATTTTCATCACTTCTGCTCCTTACCGCTACCCTTTCTTGCTTGCAACTTGGTCAACCTTTGTTTGTTCAATTAATTTTCAGTGATGGCAGAATTTCCCAGCCACGTTAGGCCTTTTGCTGAGAAAGTAAGCTTTGATGGCTGACTTACACCGCTTGAATCACCAACAAATCCAATTTGCCTGGTTGCAGTTGGTACACTTTGCTGCCTCAGCTGGAGTCTTGTCCTTGCTCCTGAGATATTCTTTGGTCTTATAGCTATGTCAAGCTCAGGTTCAAAGTTAGGGATCTCAAAATTCGGACATTCATTGCTAGTTGCAAGCTGCCTTTGAACTGTAGGGGTTGGCATAAATACAAAGTTGCTGGATTCACTAGCTTGACTGTTTTTACTTGGCTGGGGTGCTGATAAATGGAAGTCATCTTCAGTTGGGATATCTACAGCAGCTGGGGATATAGGTTGTCCATCATCAGGTTCATCAACCAAAGTTCTTTGTTTTTAGACCATCTGGTTTGAAGTTGATTCTGAGTCAGTTAAACTTCAAAAACCTAATAAATTTTGTCTCTTCTTTAATATGGCTATTTGTATACTCCCTCCTTAATCAGACGTCTCATGTTCCATTTCTGAGGACGGAGAAACTCCTGATAGGAAGCACTTCCCTTTTAATGAGCCATACAACATGAATTTGATTCAATCGTGCCAATGAGTTCTAAATAGCGTACCCGATGGTTATAGCCAAAAAAAAAAAAAGAGAATATATCATTTTAAATCTCTTCATTTTCTTTCAAAGCATATTCAA